TAAAATGTCTAAGACCATCCACTCTCCTCTAGCTCTGCTGATGCTTCACTTTCATGCAATGTCACACCCATTTCGGCTGTCGTGAGATCTTACGACCACTCTGGCAGAGTCCCATTGTCTTTTCATTTTGAAGTTTCAAAATTTTGGAACTGAAGTCTATTGTTTGTTTGTTTTAAATTTTATTTTTAAATGATTATATGGTTGATCAGGTTTGGAAGGAGTGAGGTTTAGAGAAAATTGGGTATACTCATTGCTTCCAAATTTGTTCTTTCTTCTTGTTGTTCCTGGGGGAAGAGGAAAGACAAACGGGGAAACCATTCACGACTTTCCGCATGTCCCAGCACCCAGGGATGAGGAACTGAAACCTCATATCAATCCAGAGTTTCAATGTGTACATATTCTGAGGGTTCTGTCCAAATGGCTTGGATAGCTCTGAAACACTGCCGATTTCACTGATCCGAGGATGATGTCACCCTCCCATTGTCCATTGGTTCCATTCACTGAGATTTTTTGCTGTCATTGTTTGCTGGGGATAGTTGTCCAGTTACTTCTGTTCTTCTATAGTACCAAATGTGCTGCCATATTCTCCTTTTACAACAGGGATTGTGTCCACTGCTCCAGCTTTTTCATTAAATAGGGCCTGTTCTTACTGGAGAGCCCAAGTCTATTCTGCTAGAATTCTCCCACAGTGAACAAATATCTCTGTCTTCCTGGGAGGTCTAGTTTTCAGCCTTGTCATATTGTCTACTCAGTTCAAGATATCTGGGACAGAAATGTGGCACAGATGACAAAGCCACCGCTTAGGATGTCAGCATCCAATGTGAGTGCCACTTCCTGTCCTTGCTGCTCCACTTGCAATGAAGCTACCTGCTAAGTGTCTCAGAAAGCAGTAGAAGAAAACACAGCTGCTTGGACCCCTGCTACCCATGTGAGGGATCTGGAAGAAACTACTGGCCCCGGCTTTGGTCTGCCTAAACCTGGCCATTATGGTTATCTGGGGAGTGAATCAACAAAAGATTTCCCATTTTGTTTTTTCTGAAAATATTTATTGTGACTTGGTTTTTGAAACAAAATTTTGTTTGCTATAGAATTCTCAGTTGACAGCTTTTTTTCCCTTCAGTATTTCAAAGATGTTACACTACTCTCTTCTCAACATCGTTTCTGATACCATCTTTACTTTTTGTGACTTTTGTTTCTCTGTATACTGGTTTTCCCCCCACCCCCCCGATTCTAAATTTAAGGTTTTATTATTAGGCTTTGAGCCTTTTGAGGATGATGTGTCTTACTTTCTTTTATCTTTTCTCTCCCCGCCCCCCATAACTCTTTCAAGTAAAAATTAACAATAATAAAGAGGAGATGATGCTTAAACATCATTCAATTCTCCCAATCCTAACTCCAGATCTTAACATTCTTACTAATTCCTTAACGTTAATATTCAGTTTTTCACATGTGGATATATTACCTCTCAAAAACAAGATAGGTGGCTACTGAATTGTGACACAGTATACAATTAAACACTCGGAAAACACAACTATTTGCTATCAACAAGATTAAGGAGACTCAATCTAAAAAACTCACTTGTAGATACACTGTTACTGATAGAGTTATGAATTAAATACATTTTAAAGATCATGTGACTCATGCAAGCGGGGTAGAACATAAAAAGAAAACTACAGGGGATGGTGCCGAACTACAGCATCCTAACACTTCACCTGTGGCACTGGCTGCTCCACTGGGGATCCAGTTTCCTGCTCAGGACCTAGGAAAGCAGCAGAGAATGGCTCAAGCCTTTGGATGCCTGCACTCAACAGGGAAGACCTGGAAGAAGTTCCTAGCTTCCAGCATTGGACCAGCTGGGGGAGTGAACCAGCAGGTAGAAGATTTCTCTCTCTCACTCTCTCTCTAATCCTGTCAAGTAAAATAAACAACTCTTTTAAAAAGAAAGGAAGAATAAAACTACATTGTATATGTCCTCAACCATAGGAATGTATAGCAGCTTCAAACCAAAAGAGGTGTTCAGCAGAATCAGTGACCCTCCGAACACGTGACCAGATATGTTTTTACTGCATGGCTCAACTCTTTAGAAAGAGGGAATACTTTTTTTTTAGCTATAATTAAATATTTTATTTATTGTTTAGTTCTTTTTTTTTATTAATTACATTGCATTATGTGACACAGTTTCATAGGCTCTGGGATTCCCCCAACCCCTCTCCATACCGTCCCCCCAAGAGGGAATACTTCTAACTCATACTGAGTATGAGAAAAAAGGTCCTTAAAAAAACAGAGACAGTTCAGTTCCAAAAGTTCCCATTAACAAAATCCAGGTTGTATTCAACAATTAAGCTGCATAACATTTAAAAGTATATAACTACTGTTAATTAATTTTAGAGTGCTAATTATTTCACTAGTTATGGTTTTCCTGAAAATAAGATACTTTCTCTGTATCTTATTTTTTAAATATTTTTCTTATTTTTCCTGACAAGAAGCTAGCTAACTTCCCCAAGCTTACACAAATTAAGAGGGGGGTGGGAAGGGAGAAACTAAATCTTAATCCAAACTCTGAACCACATTAATGCGCCACAAAAAAAAAATCTCTACCATGATTATAAGGACAATATTATAAGTATTTATAAGCCAGGTCCTACCAAGTAACACATTTTTTCTATGCCCATCTTCCAGCCCAGGGGTATTTTAACTTTGGAGCTTGATGATCTGACTATTTTCAACATTTCCCCCCTTCAATCTCTGATGGGATGTTGGACTGGGACCAGAAATTTTGGAAGAATACACAAAGCATCTTCAGATGCCTCAATTAATTTTTCACCAGAAATCAAGATATTCCTTATTTGTTTACACCAAAATCCGAGGCTCTGAAACTTACAAGGGAAATTATATCACTGTCAGTGAGATGTCACTATTACCCTCTGTGCTTTTCACATTTATCAAGTACTATTTCCCTTTATCAATGTATTCTTATCCTACGTTCGTACCAGTAATTTCTTAGGAGATGACTTCCTTCCCCATGTCTTGGAGGCTAAAGCAGTGATCATAATCCAATCAGATTTTCAATAATGCTGTTAATAAATGTATTCAAGCAAAGCGTTCAAATCTGATAGAAAACAGCATAGCTCAATCTGATTGTTAAACAGAAAAATGAACTTAGCTAAGTCAACAGGAACAACTGAGACATCTACGCTTGAGTGTGTTCCCCTAGGCTTAATGTATTTTTCCTCACTGCATTATATTTTAATGATTAATTTCATGCTCTTTCATGGTATTTTAACTCATGAATCACGGGTATTACTTCGAGGGGAAGGAAAGACTCTGTGTGTAAAGAGAGATGTTACTGATTAAAATGTGCTGCACACAGAAACTATAAAGCTAAAGGAGTCTGATTACCACCCTGCAGATTATAAATTATTCCAGACAAACCGGCCATGTTGATTTAGTCTGGGAGTCGCAAGGAACCTTGGCTTCTTATGTGCAATTGGTCAAAAACAGTTTCGTGCATGAAACTGAGCCACACATTTTATGTTTCTTCCCATCTTTTTCCTAAGAATCAAGGTTAACAACTGATTGCAAAGACCATTACAAAAGAAGCAGGAAAAAATTTCCCTTAAGCATGTAACAACTCTCAACTTCAGCAGCCCAAACTCAACCACCATCCTTCCTCTGAGAGTCTAGTCTGTGAAACTGGTGCTTCCTGAAAGCTGTAGAATGTTTGGTATTTGGTTTCATTTCAAAGAAAAGAGAAAGCAAAGGAGATCTGGTTAAGTCAAAACAACAAGGACTAAAAAGGACTAAGACCTAAATGAAACATGAAAAGCACAAATCATACCATTTACGTTGTGCACACACGAGTATTTTATCACATGATCAGTATCAGAAAGTAATCTATCCATAAGAGAAGTCACAACTAAGCAGAAACTCACTAGATGTCCATGTGATGTATCTAATATACCAATATAGATTTTTCAAATCATGAGTGTGGAGTTTGGACAAAACAGAACACAAAGTTCCCAGAACAGTACAAACAGAACATCTTCCCATTACTAGGGGGCAAAGTTTATCCAATCAATGCCAGGGGCAAAAATGCAGCAGGAGCAGCAGGTGGTTTTAAACTTATTTTCATTACCAGAAGGACAGAAGAGAACAAAAACTTGAGATTTGTAAAGCGCGCACGCGCAGGCACACACCACACACACACAAACGTTTGCCAGAGCAGAAAACTCATACAAAGAAAATCCTCCAACAAAACAACCTTTGCCTTTAGGGAAGGAGTGCTGACAGCGGCTTAGGCCGTCTAAGTCCCTGTTGACAGTTCAGTGCGACTCACAACACGGATTAAGGAAACAAGGAGAAAGCAAAAGAAATAGTCTTGGTTCAGGTGGGCCTTATTCAGACAAAGATTCCTGTAATTTTTCCAAAAGTGCAAGACAGAATCAAAAACTGCTAAGAGAAGAGAAAAACGTAATTTATTTCTGGATTTCCCCTTGCGGACACTGTCTTTAAAAAAAAAAAAAAATGTTGTTTTTTTTTTTTTCTTGTATTTCCGTGAGACTTTGTTCCTTGTTCCCCTAGGGGCAATTATTTCATAAGCAATACCCTGGCCCTTGGTGCCCACTGCGGCTAACCCAGGCCTCCCCCTAAAGACTACTCTCCACCTTCCACCGACCGGGCAGGTTCCTAAAACAGGGTCCACTGGGTGGCAAAGGGGCACTTGGTCCCCTCAGAGTCCACGGTCCCGCCACTGCGCGCTCTGGAGCCGTTGCCACTCCGGGAAGGACAAGGAGACAGGCTTCCACCATCCCCTCAGAAGTAAGCAGACGCGTCCCGGTACAATGAGACACCCGCCGCGGGTCTCCGGCGGTCCTAGGGCTCTGCCCCGCAAGTCTCGCACCGAGGCAAACTTTCCCCGTGTGCCCCACTTCTTCTCCCACGCCCCCCGACCGTGCCGCGGCCCCAGGCCCAGTGAGAGCCGGCCGGCGCGCAGTGGGTACCTCGATATCCGCCGTGTCCTTGCTAAGCACCCGGGCCATGGCAGTCCCTACAGCGGGAGACCCTCCCTCGTCCGCGGGCTCCAACCAGACGGAAGTGACAGCGCGCCCGAGCGCGAGTGGAAATAGGGGAGCCGGGCCCGCGGGGCGGCGCGGGGCGGCGCGGGGCGGAGCTGCGACGCCCCCGGGGCGGGGCTGCGCGGCTCGGGCGGCCGGGCGGCTCGGGCGGGCGGCTCGGGCGGCTCGGGCCGGCTGGGGGCGGCCGGGGGCGGCTCGGGGAGCCGGGGAGTGCCGGGAGTGCCGGGAGTGCCGGAGCCGGCCTGCGCGCCCGAGCGCCCGCGGCCCAGCAGGGAGGCAGGTGTTTCTCCCACGGCCGCCAGGAGAGCAGGCGTGCAAGCGTTAGCTGGGAGTCGCCACTGGGAGAAAGTCGACCTGGGCCGCGAGAGGACCTTAGTGCCGGGCTCCCCGGGAGGCAAGGCAAGGGCGTTCTGCGCCCCAGGCTGTTCTCAGGCTGTTCTGGTCCTTTCTAGCGAGGGACAGAAACAGTGTGTCCCGGGCAGCCGCCTCTTCAGGAACTCCCGTGGGTGAGGTGGTAGATGCCCCTCCACGCATTCTTCGAAGAGACTAGCCGCCGAGGAGAGGGCGGGAGCGCAGGTCGCCACGAGGATGCCAGCCTGGGGTCGCGGGCATGAGGCAAGCGAAAACAGACCCCGCCGGCAGCTGCTGAAGTAAGTTGGATGTTTGCAGGAGAATCCATTCAGCTGCTATTTTAAAAAGGTGTGTAGAACTGTGAAGCGTGAAGCCCTTTTGAAGAGTTACTCTTTATGTTTCCCTCCTAAACTTGCCCGGAGTAAGGAAGCAAACTCATGTAATGGAGGTTCCAGTGTGGAAAATAATCTCTCCTTTTTTCCCCTAATGAGATGCACTGCCTTATCTTACAAAACTTTGCATTTAATTCTACTATATTATTTATCTTCACATCAAATATTATTCCCTGTGTCTTTTTTTTCCCCCCTCAGTTCATTCTTCGTCTTCGTCAACAAGCCTCTGCTGAGTTTCCTCGAGGTACCGGTAATGTGTGGTTTCCTAATACTACTTTTCCAGAAGCCTGTGCACTCATACTGAATGTGTGGCCGCCCGGCCAATAAGAGCAACTGGTCAGTAACAGGTATGATTTCCCCCCTGAGTGTTTGAGGAAGTCATCTCGGAACAACTCACGGGCTCCTTTTTCAAGAAACTGGAAATTACTATGCAGCAGAAACAATTTGTAAAATATTCATTTGTCTATTTGGAAGCCAGAGTTGCAAAGAGAGGGAGAGATCTTCCTTCTGCTGGTTCATTCCACAAATGGTCACAGTGGCCTTGAGTGAGCCAGGCAGAAGCCAGAAGCCAGAAACCACTGGAGTGCCATGTGGGAGGCAGGAGCACGGGGACCTGGGTGGCAAGTGGAGCTGGTACTGGCATCACAGGCAGCAGCATAACCTACTGCACTGCAGTGTCGGCACCACCATTTTTCTTCAATCAAGTCTTATTTAATCAGAGAAACTAGAAATCTGAATAGCAATCATCCTTGACTCACTTTCCCTCACTCCATCATTTAATGCACCCCCAAACTCTACAGATTCAGCCTTCTACACAGAAAGACCTTGAATCATTCTACATTTCTCCATCGTCATGCATCTAGCAAGCCTGTGCACTCAGCACGGCTTCAGACACCCACTCTTATTCCACATTCCACTCTTACCTACTCTCTATTCCAGACTGAGCTGGAAATTATTAATTGATTCACAGTATACGTACATCCATTGGGGTCAGAATATAATACAGACCCCTTAATGATCTTTCTCTCCAACCCTAACTAGAAACACTCTTGCTCTGACTCATAATGTTTCAAACACAAACTAAATTTCTCATAGTCCTTTCTCTAGTGCAGCACCTTGTCCATCCCCTTAGGAGCTTTCACCCATTCTTTAATTCTTTCAGGCCTCAGAGAAGCCTTCACTGATGTTTCCCATCTCCAGCAAATTAGCCCCAACCCTATCCTTGTTGATCTGATTCATAACCCTTGTTTGTTCTGTAACAAACATGTCAGATTTTGTTTGCATGTTATTTGTGACATGTCTTCTGTTTAGAATACTTAATTATTTCTTCTGTCTAGACTGTGAGCTCCAAGAACAATGGGCCCAATGACTGCCAGGATTCTCCCCTGGATTCTCAGGTGCCCTCCCAGGACAGAAACATTTTTAAGAATACTTGATAGTCCGGTGAACGGGGTACACCCTCAGCTTGTTTTACGCACGGAGCAGTTCAGCTAGATATCTTACTCTTTACCATGTCTTCTGAGCATTCCATACATCGTTGCTACACATATCACAGTGTGTACCAGTGGATTGTTATTTTAATTGTATCAACTACTTTTCATGGAATCTTGTTCCAGAGTCAATTGTTCCTCACCTCCCAGCAAACACAATTTACCTACCTGTTAGCCACCTGCATCCTGTTAGTTATGGATTAATAAAATGTTGCATTTTATATTTGGTCACTGACTATAAAGATTTGGAATTCTGATGTATTTTTTCAAAACACACATTATCAGTGAACGTTTTGTAGATGCTACATACACGTCGATTTCAAAAATTATTTTAACCAAAAAATGTATCTTCATTCCATGTTCCTTGAACTTTTTGAAATATTATCATGTATACATGTACACATAAATGCATACAAGTGCATATAAATCTTTCTATATATACATACAACTGAATTAAGAATGGTTATAAGTAAGTATATGTATATATATACACAATATTTGAATAATATGATACTTATATAGCTACAGTACGTGTGGTTCATTCCCAATTTAGTCAGTAAGGTTCAATGTTGACTTCCTAACGTCAAAGAATATGTATTGTATGCTCCTTTAGATTATACTACAGCACAAGTTGGATCAATTACTAATCAATACTTTGTTTTATAGGTACAAGTATCCAAGTTACCTTAAGTGTTATATACCACATTTATGTATTTGTTTTTTGTTTTCATATTGTTTTCCTAATCCACACTAGAGGGTTATTCCATATATGCTTTTGCAAAGCAAGAGCTTATCAACAATTAGATACCAAAAATAAACTGTAAATCCTATTTAACTTCACTAAGCAGGTGTAGTCTGCTCTGAAATGTTTGTTTAAGGCATTTAATCACATTGCTCAATGCTACATCTATACTCTGTGATCAGTGATTGCATCTAATAATATGTTAAGTCCATTGAAATTCCACGCTGAGCACATTTGTACCTGTAAATAATCCAAGCTGTTTAAGCCTACTGCAAATGCATTCACACCACACTTTTTTCTTAAAGTTGTAAATTATGATGGCATTTGTCAAGCTGTCCCTCCATCTGGAAGCACAGTCAAATATCAGGTGTTCCACATTATTTTTTTCTAGGCTTTGGAGAGACAGCTCATCTTTCAACCTAATGTTTACAGTACATGAATGAATAACATTATTATTACCACAGTCAGAAGCCAGGCCTATGAGTCATCATTCATTTGACTTCCAAAATGTATTAAAAATTATAGATTTAGAGACAATAAAAAAATCTGATATTCAAATAACCCTTTTCTCCCCCTTTCTCATAGTGTAGAATTAAGTATAAAATATGGACATTTTTTGGATGATAATTTTATTGCAAAAAGTCACATACTTTGACCATTCCCCTCCCCCAATCCTATCCAAGCATACAAGGAAGTTAGCTTGGAAGAGTACAGAAGTCTAAGGAAGGATGAAAAGGAGGCTCTCATGACTGAGATTTGGGCAATAAATGGGAGAGTGACCTAAGGTTAGGCTTCAGAGTTAAAGAGTGCCATTTGTTTTTGAGTCTTTTGAATAGGACTATGGACTTTATCCTATAAGAAATGGCGACCTAGGAAGTTTTACAAGAGAGGAATGGTTTGATAAATATGAATTTTGAAGTAGCACCTGATTGCAATATGTGCCTCATTGCATATTCATATACTCACTTGGGTAAATGTGTGAACATCAATGAATATAACTGATTTCTAGGCAGAGTCTCATTGATTCCCTCCACATGGTAGCCTGAATAGTAATCATAATTGGAATTAGAAACCAATATGATTAATTTTACTATTATCGATGCCATTATTTTTTAACATGATGAAACATTTAGAAATTAGGGTTTGTTTTTTTTTTTTCAAATTTTGTTTACTTACCTCCCATCTGCTGTTTTGCTTAAAGCCCACAATGGCCTAGGATCAAGCAAGGATGGGTGCTCCATCCAGCTCTCCTTCCTGGTGGCAGAAAGTCAGGTATTGGAGCCGTTACCTCTGCCTCCACGGTGTGGATTAAAAGAAGCTCCTGAATCAGGAGTCAAGTTTAGGCACTCTGAAATGTGGTGTGGGTGTCTTATCCTTTCAGGCAAACACCTACTCCCAGATCTCTGATCTCTGTTTTTAATCAGATTGGGAAGAAAATTTATACCCCAGAAGGATCTCTGGGCCAGTCAATGGAGATCTTTCTGTTTTACAAAGCTGTGATCACTCATTTTTAGTCATCTGAATAATGAGCAACGCATTGCCCTTTTCTGCCATTTGTCTTAATGATTGCCACTGCTCCCAGGTCCTTGATGGCTTTGAGTAGGCCTTTTCTTTTTATTCCCCGCTTCACACAGTACCTAGTACATAGTAGGTGCATAAATATTTATGAATAATTATTATCTTCTCATAAGACTTAATTGCAGATCAATATTATTACTATTTAGACATGACAGCAGAACTAGAAAACAGAAATTGTATGGAGATCCAGTAATACACAAATAGACAAAGAACCCTATGAGTGAAACACAAAAAAGAAAAACAAATTATTGATAAAATGTGAAAATCACATTAACAAATTAACCATTTAAGCAATGCCAAAAATTACAGTGACATGATTTTTCACTTATCACTTTGACAAATGTTTTTTTGTAGCGTGAACGAGATAACAGGATTTTAGGACTCTGCAATGTATAATAACATGGTTTAATATATAAGCAGAGCAGTTTAGCAATACAGAGCTGTCTTAGTCCATTCATGCTGCTGTAATGAAATGCCACAATCT